TGGATGGTGCTTAAAGCCATAGGAAAGAATAAGATTACTATTTTGTGTGTGTGGTTGTCTATTCTCCCCAACAATTTATTACTCCTTGAGGGCAGAGGTTATGTCTTGCTCTGTTTTTTTTCAGTCTCTCAACAGAACCTAGCAACTTTGGCTAGTGGCATCCCAGCCTTCAGGATTTAATAATGGCATGATCATTCCTGGTTGAAATTTTTTGTCAGAGCCTAGACAGCAGAACAGAGAAGACCTCTTGTTTGAATGTGTCCCTCCCCCACCACCCCCAAATATTTCTCAATGATAATAAGTTACTTTCTCCTCTTTGATTTTCTGTTTACTCATGTGCCTTGAAGGATGACCATGAGGTTGAAATACTTAACAGAGTGCTTGGGTAATAGAAAATGATTGTGATATTGTTACTATTTTTTGTTTTCTTTCATATAATATGATAATAGCATCTATTATATCCAAGCAAAGAACAGGAATATTTTTAGATTTCTTACCTACATCTCCATATACTTGTGAAGACTGATACTGTGGCATATACTGTGTTGCCATGTCTCCAGCTCCAGTGACTGGTGAGTACATATGGCGCGGTGGAGGGGGCATCATGGTTGGGACAGGAATGAAACCCGGCAGAGGAGGATGTGGAGAACGATGTATGACTGTGTGACCACCAGGATGAAACTCTGGAGCCTGAGGAACCACAACAACTCTTCGGACACCATTGTCCTCAATAACCTATAAAGTGAACATGTGATTAAAAATTTCTTCCATAAGGATGCCAGCAATTCTTTTGAAATGTTAGAGCAGAGTAATTATTTTTACACCATTAGAAGTTCATTAAAAAATATTACAGAATCAACACAAAGCCTATTAAATACATTAAGTACATATGAATTAGCATTGCTCATGAAGTAGTTTTTATTATATAATGCAAAATATATCTTAAAACAATAGTAATATAAACAACGACTCTGATATTAGGTATTTATCCTGTGTGTTAGGTGCATTTAACGATGCAGTAAAAATGAAGGGAGGCTCAAGGGAATTTTTGGTTTGGACACAATAAGAATCAGGAGGTACTTTCTTTTTCCATATTATGGGTGGGAGTTGGGGGAAAACAAGTTGTGAAAAGAACAAAAGCCAT